TCTCAACTAAGGTGATAAAAGAGGTTGGATACAGGGAACATAAACATTTGCTGAACAATGAGCCTGGAGGTTCGATTGTGGGAAGCATTTGACTCATACGGCATAGAAGAGCTAATGAAAGTAAACTAATGCTATAGTTTAGGAGTTAAAATGGACATCTGATCACAGACGTGTGTTAAGTCTTACTGCTTGTCGACAGCTGTTTGGCTGTTGCACGGGTCCACGCTAGCTGCCGATCCTGGCTTTTTGCTAGGGATTCTTCGGGGTTCTCCGTGTCTGATTGAAAACGCCTCCTCCGTCTGGCAATTCGGCTGTTTGCAGGTTTCCTTGGTTGTAGCTGGCGAGACCACGTGGCTTGGTCTGACCTCGGTGAAGTTGGCTCGACGAAAAAGGCTTAAAATGGAACTTGGTCGTTCCTGAATTAGTCCAGTGTAACTTAACGGACTCATAACTTTAACAAACAAAAGAAATAAAGAAAATAAAACAAACTGAAGGCAGATCGATGTCTCGGCACTTCAGGTGTGTAGCTTCAGGCGAACAAAGGCCTGTTTGTTTCGCTGGCCGAGTCTGGGCGTGTTGCCTGGCGAGGCACGCGCCGTGCCGAAGCATCCAGAGGGCAGAAGGGAAGAGCGAGAGAGGAAGAGTAAGAGCGAGCAGGTCGCGTGTCGCTCTTTTGTTGCCTGGGGCGTGGTTCCCCAGGGGGCGTCTCAGGTTTCCCAGGACTGCCTTTCTAAACTTAATGCCTAAAGAAAAGAAATCTATTTGCATGTATTATAATCAAACATTTTCCGCAATCGAACCTCAATGGTTGAACGGTTGTACCATTCTAGGCATTTGGTAACAGAAAACAATTGTCACATTATTGGTCAGGATATACATTTAACGGCATTTCCGACGAGGGCATGTAATACTTATTTCGTCCACTTGGGGGAGCTCAGGTTACATGAGGAAAGCTTGGATTAAATCAAAGATCGTCTCTCCTTAGGAACCGGGGAATATTGTTGATTCATC